AGAGGATTCACTAGAGACAGTGGGGAACAGAATAGGCAGATCGACTGAAATACACTGCTGAGGGGAGCAGCAGGGAGACAGGAGAGGTCGGCTGCACCATGTGTGTTAGCTCCCTGCCTGGGGATGGAACTCATGTTGCAGTGGCTGGCAACAGCTTGATAGCACTGTGTCTTTAACCCCTGCGCCACCAGGGAGGCCCCCAGCACTCTTTTTTGTGCCTTTACTCTTGTAATGTTGCCTATTCTTCTACTTTGATGCCCTTTCGAACACTAATGTGATGTCCTTTATCTCCATCCGATTGTCTTTGTCTCCTTATGCTTCCCTCTACCACTTAAGAAAAAACCAGACTCTCTTATGTGCTTTTTTCCCGTAAGCACTGCTCGGAGTTTCACTGGCTGCTGTACCTGTTACCCCCTACCTAACTCAGCTGACAAAAATTTAATAGCTGTTCCTTTAAACACTTCAGGAGGTAGATTCCCTTTTACAGGTCGCTTCTGGTACTTGTTTCCCTCACAGCATTCACCCCAACCCTTAGTCTTGTAAAAATTGGACCTCAGCTTCACATCAGCAAAATGTTTCTGCTAAAGTCATTATAATCCCGTCAGCAAGGCCTGGTCATCAGAAGTGGACTTTAATATGGGGAATATCTTAGTTGCAATGATCTCCTCGACCTGCTTAGTGGGTACTGTTTAACCCCACTAAAGGGATTTGTCCATTTGAGAGACATAAATAAGCCCACTCTTACTGTTGTAGATGAGTTATACTCTTGATACTTGAGTACTAGTTCTCATGTGGACAGCAGCCTTAGGGGACTAAGAAGGACACCCAGAAGACTCCAAAATAAAGTAGACACAGGTGATTCAAGAGAACTTCCCGGGAGACGACTGATTTCTTCTTTATGCCTACACTGTGAGCGGTGATTCCTATAACACGGACAATCACGTAGCCCTTGATTTCCTCTTAGCCAGCCAAGGGACAGTGTGCGTGGCACAGCAAATACTACTTGTTGCACTTATGTAAATACTGCAGGACAAGCTGAAGAGTTCATGATTAGGCTAAAAGTGTGGAGGGTGTGTCCCTCTGTCAGGACTGCTCTTTCCTCAGGTATCCCCACAACTCACCCCCTGGTTTCCTTAGGTCTCTATTCAGTTATCACTTTATCAGTGATCACCCTATTTAAAATTGCTTTCCCCTCCTCCTTGTAGAAAGGCTATATCCCTTTCCCACTTCATTTTTCCCTATGGCCTTCGTCACCTAATATATTGTATGCTTTACTTATTTTTCTTGTTTTGGCCTGGCTACTCCCATTGGAAGTAGACTTTATGAAGAGGGAGAGAGAGAGAGTTCAGCGTGGCTCACTGGTGAATACTCAGCATCTTAGAATTCCCAATGTTTCTTTTATTATTATTTTTTTATTTTTTAAATTTTTAAAAGATTTATTTATTTATTTATACAAGCACAGGGTACAGTCAGAAGCGCGGGAGGATGAGAGAATTCACCAGAGCCAGAGCGGGGACTAGAACAGGCAGACTGATGAAATACACTGCTGAGGGGAGCAGCAGGCGCGGCAGGAGAGGTCTGTTGTGCCATGTGGGACACTCGCCGGTGGCTGGGGATCGAACTGGCACTGCAGAGGCTCCGAGCAGCTTCGCAGCCCAGCGCTCAACCGCTGCACCACCAGGGGAGGCCCTCCCAATGTTTCTTGATTACATGAATACAGTAGAGCTTGAAAAATAAGTTGTAGTAGAATAGCAGATACTAGCTCACACTTGCACATTTATTATATACCAAGCAGTATTTGGAGTGCTTTACATTATTATCTCACTTAGGCCATAAAATCCCTTGAGGAGAATATCATCATCATCCCCATTTTGCACATGAAGAGGCAGAGGCAGTGAGACATGAGGGTTTCAGAGTCTATTTTATTAGCGATCCTGTGGGATATACCTTTAATACCATGTTTGAAAATGTGCACTTTTATGTGATGTTTAAAAATATGTACAAGATAATGCTCATGATGCTTAGGGACGCCTGCATATGTAACAAAAATGTGAAGGTCTGCATGGGGCTGATGACCAGCAGGGATTCAGTGGCATAGTAGTGCTAAAGGTGGCAATCAAACATAATCAAAACTGTCCTTGAAACTCTCCTAGGAGTCACCAACACAGATGACTTTTACTCCAACATTAGACCCTTTTGCTGTTTCTATGGCCAAGCCCCGAATTCAATAGTGGCCTTGCAGCTGGGAAATCAACAGACTCCTGACAAGCTTGGGGGGACGTTTGCAGCAGGCCGGGGAGGAGGGAACAATGACAGCCCAGACCTTCAGCAGATAGCGGGTCTCAGTGTCAGAAATGGGAGCAGAGTCTCAGCAAACTCAGCTCCTCTGTCTCTGGGAGGACACGTAAATGAGCAGAGCCATATGGCTATCTAGACCTTCGAGTTTCTAGGGATGGATGGCGCATGACTTCCTATGATAGCCTTTTCTGGTGGTTATCAACTCCTATCATCAATAATGGCTAATTTATGTTTGTCTCCCATGCAATTTCAGTCCATTTCTTATTACTCTGTAGATACAGAGAACAGATGGTGAGCATTCTCCTTATGACCTTCTAGAGAATGGAAGACAGCCTTTCCTTCCTCCTTCCTCAGCTGGTTTTGTTCTCTTTGACCAGAGTTCCAACCTCTTCATTTTTCTACACAAGTTTCATTTTTAGTCAATTATTTTATTTGCATTACACTGGATTTTTAACCAAATAAATAGTACTTTTCTTGGCAAAAGGAACACATGCAGGTAGTTAAGATTCTAACAGTACAAAAACACATGTGGTTTTCCTTCCATCCAAGATTTCTCAGGCACTATCTCTTGATTCAGCTCTTCTCTCGCCAGCAGGTTTTTCCAGAGCATTTTCTTAACATGTCCAAGTATAGAAGAATATATTTTCTTCTACATCCATCTTCAATTCAACACATTCATTAAGGACCTGCTATGTGCCAGGTACTGTGCCACTCCTGCGCCGGGCCACACACAGAAGAGATGCGTCTCCCTGTCCTCTGTGCATGCGCTTCTGGGAGACAAAGGAGAAAGGCAGAGCCACTCATTCATCAAAGGCTGGTTCATCGAGCGCTTGCTATGTGTCAGGCAGTGCAGAAATCACCGAATAACAGGAGTTCTTGCCCTTCCAGATCTTGTAGCCTTATGGGTGGGAGGACAGACTAATGAGCTGGCATGCTGTGAAATGTCAACCAATGCCAGGGAAATGCCAAGATGACCCTTGACAATTGTCCTAGATCTTATAAGTTGCATGGCCTCATGTGGGAAGCAGTCACCAAGGTCAAGTCCTGTGCCTAGTGGAAGGGGGGAAACATGGCAGGAACAGCAGCTCCAAATCCAGTGGCAGGCCCCGAGCTGAGCACTTTCCACACACTCTTACAGGTGTGCTTGGGAGGTACGAGGTGAGTGCTATTATCCACATCTAACAGGTGAGGATTACGGGGCTCCACGGATGTTAGGAAACTGACCCCAGAGCACAAAAATGAAATTCAAATTAAAGTGTCTTTCTGCAAAGCCACCTTCCTGATCACTGTTTCTGGGCATGGGTGTGAAGGGTGGGTGATTCTGATGCTCCTCCTGCCCTCGTGGAGAGCTACTGGACTACACATAAAAGGTTGACTCAGTCTCTCACTAGACTGGCTTTTTTCAATATAAGCTGTGAAATGCAGAGGAAGATTCACTGGTCTAGGAGTCAGGAGATCCTGGTTCTGTTCCTGCTCTACCTCTCACAAGCTCCATGTTCTTGAGCAAGACATTCTACCCTCTGGACCCCAAGATCCTGATCTAGGAAATGCAGTGGCTGGTGGGGTCACCTCTGTATGCTTGATGGGCTTTGATGATATTTTGATCTTCCTCAAAGGCTGTAATGATGCCTTCTGGGGCAAAATCTGCATTTCCCCCTGGAGAATGACACCCAACTAGTTCAGTCGATCTGTTTCTTTTCAAGGCGATTTGAGGACTCTGCGGTGATCACCTTACTGAGCGTGCTGTGTGTGAACGTGCTAGTAATACGTCCTTGGCCTCTGCTGTTGCTCGTAGTTCTGAACACTATCTTCCCCCCACCTTTTTTCTCCATAAAGAGGAAGGAGCCTTAGTTAAGTGAGCAAGTACCCATTTAATATAGCCAGCTTAATTAAAGTGACAATCAACCAGCAACAGGAGATAATCCATAGGGAAACTGGGAAAGCGCCCCCAAAGTGATGACTGATTGCAGGTATGTAATAACCTGAGAACTTTGCTCTCGCTGATTTCATGCTTGGGAGAGCAGCCCCATGACGTGCTGTAAGCCACAAAAAGAGGATCTGCCCTGGTCAATAAGCCCCATAAAGCTCAGGGGAGAGAGGCTGGTGTGATCCAGAAAAGAAGGTGGCCAAGGCACGGCCAGCAGATAACAAGTCTCTGGGTTTTTGCTCCTTTTATTTCACATGAAACGTGGGTATTTAGAAACCAGATCTGGTCATT